CTGCCTGATACGAGCAATTTCCGTTCTTTTTTGTACCTGAGTCTTCCCTCTCCACAGCGGCATGGCTTCTTCTTTTCTGTGTTGCCCAGTCCGCTGTGCTACTGACCTTCTTGAGGCTGCTGTGGGCCGCGTAAGCCTTTGGTTTTTTTCTCAACCTGAGTTTTCTTTCCCTTTCTCCCTCTGAAGCTATCTCACTCTCCCACTTGTTATAGTTACCTTCTTGAGCCTGGTGCGCGCCATGATGCTCCTTCTGTTCGGCTTGCCTCCTCCCGCCGCAGCCTCTCTCTGAAGCTATCTCACTCCCCACTTGTTGTATAGTTACCTTCTTGAGCCTTTAAGCGATTCCGTGCTTTTAAGCGATTTTGTGAAAAATATTATTGGCAGGTAGTTGCTAATTGCTCATAGAAAGGCCCCCTTAAAGGTTTTAAACCTTTGTTTGTCACCTGTCATCCGCTTTGCAATGGAGGGAAGTCGAACCTTAATTTTGAACTCCTCCTATGTTCTTCTGATTAATTTCGTTGCGGGTCCAATGACAGTTTAACTTTCCGCCCGGGACAAACTTGACCTTCATTGGTTGGGTTTTTGTGGCGGTCAAGCTGTAGATCCTGGCTACACAGGAGTTGCAGTGGTGGGAACGAGAGGTGGGAATAGTCCCGTTACCTTCTTGAGCCTGGTGCGCGCCATGATGGCCTCGACGCGCTGTTTGCGCGCGAGGCGTTCCTTCTCCTCGCGCTCGGCCTCCTCCCGCCGCAGTCTCTCTCTCTCTCTCCCTCTGAAGCTATCTCACTCTCCCACTTGTTATAGTTACCTTCTTGATCCTGATGCGTTCCATGATGCCTTTCTTATTTTCTGCCTGATACGAGCAATTTCCGTTCTTTTTTGTACCTGAGTCTTCCCTCTCCACAGCGGCATGGCTTCTTCTTTTCTGTGTTGCCCAGTCCGCTGTGCTACTGACCTTCTTGAGGCTGCTGTGGGCCGCGTAAGCCTTTGGTTTTTTTCTCAACCTGAGTTTTCTTTCCCTTTCTCCCTCTGAAGCTATCTCACTCTCCCACTTGTTATAGTTACCTTCTTGAGCCTGGTGCGCGCCATGATGCTCCTTCTGTTCGGCTTGCCTCCTCCCGCCGCAGCCTCTCTCTGAAGCTATCTCACTCCCCACTTGTTGTATAGTTACCTTCTTGAGCCTTTAAGCGATTCCGTGCTTTTAAGCGATTTTGTGAAAAATATTATTGGCAGGTAGTTGCTAATTGCTCATAGAAAGGCCCCCTTAAAGGTTTTAAACCTTTGTTTGTCACCTGTCATCCGCTTTGCAATGGAGGGAAGTCGAACCTTAATTTTGAACTCCTCCTATGTTCTTCTGATTAATTTCGTTGCGGGTCCAATGACAGTTTAACTTTCCGCCCGGGACAAACTTGACCTTCATTGGTTGGGTTTTTGTGGCGGTCAAGCTGTAGATCCTGGCTACACAGGAGTTGCAGTGGTGGGAACGAGAGGTGGGAATAGTCCCGTTACCTTCTTGAGCCTGGTGCGCGCCATGATGGCCTCGACGCGCTGTTTGCGCGCGAGGCGTTCCTTCTCCTCGCGCTCGGCCTCCTCCCGCCGCAGCCTCTCTCTCTCTCTCTGAAGCTATCTCACTCTCCCGCTTGTTGTATAAAGCCTGGTCCGTGAGCACGTAGAATCCCGTCCAATGACCCCAAGCTACCCATCCTTATCACTCGCGCGTAATTATATTGCTGTCGCGACTGTGCGACGCGCGCCCGCAGTGAGTGTGCGAGCGCAAAAGCAACATAATTACGTGCGAGTGACAAGGATGGGTAGCTTGGGGTCATTGGACAAAATTCTACGTGCTCACAGACCGGGCTTTAGTGTAGTTACCTTCTTGAGCCTGGTGCGCGCCATGATGGCCTCGACGCGCTGCTTCTCCTCGGCTTGTCTTCTCCCGCCGCAGCCTCTCTCTTGAAGCTATCTCACTCTCCCCACTTGATAGTTTTTAATACCTGAGTCCTCCCTCTCGGCCTTATCTGTTCACAGCGGCTCGGCTTCTGTTCACTTTTTGCTGCCCAGTCCGCTGTCTTGAGTAAGCCTTTGGTTATTTTCTCAACCTGAATTTTCTTTCCCTTTCTCCCTCTGAAGCTATCTCACTCTCCCACTTGTTATATTATAGTTACCTTCTTGAGCCTGGTGCGCGCCATGATGGCCTCGACGCGCTGCTTGCGCGCGAGGCGCTCCTTCTCCTCGCGCTCGGCCTCCTCCCGCCGAAGTCTCTCTCTCTCTCTCTCTGAAGCTATCTCACTCTCCCGCTTGTTGTATAAAGCCTGGTCCGTGAGCACGAAGAATCCCGTCCAATGACCCCAAGCTACCCATCCTTATCGCTCGCGCGTAATTATATTGCTGTCGCGACTGTGCGACGGGCGCCCGCAGTGAGTGTGCGAGCGCGACAGCAATATAATTACGCGCGAGCGACAAGGATGGGTAGCTTGGGGTCATTGGACAAAATTCTACGTGCTCGGCGACCAGACTTTAGCCTCTATTATTTTCTGCCTGCTACGAGCAATTTTCGTTCCTTTTTAATACCTGAGTCCTCCCTCTCGGCCTTATCCGTTCACAGCGGCTCGGCTTCTGTTCACTTTTTGCTGCCCAGTCCGCTGTGCCAGTACCTTTTTGAGTAAGCCTTTGGTTATTTTCTCAACCTGAATTTTCTTTCCTTTTATCTCTCCCTCTGAACCTATCTCACTCTTTAACTTGTTGTGTAGTTACCTTCTTGAGCCTGGTGCGCGCCATGATGGTCTCGACGCTTGCCTCCTCCTCCCGCTGCAGCTTGCGCCTAGGCTTAGCTAAATTGCCTAAATTATGGTCACCGAGCAGATAGAATTTCGTCCAATGACCCCAAGTTACCCATCCTTATCATTCGCGCTTAATTATATTGCTGTCGCGACTGTGCGACAGGCAGCCGCAGTGAGTTTGTGAGTGTGGGCAATAAGGATGGGTAGCTTGGGGTCATTGGACAAAATTCTGCGTGCTCAGAGACCGGGCTTTAGTGTAGTTACCTTCTTGAGCCTGGTGCGCGCCATGATGGCTTCGACGCGCTGTTTGCGCGCGAGGCGCTCCTTCTCCTCGCGCTCGGCCTCCTCCCGCCGCAGTCTCTCTCTCTCTCTCTCTGAAGCTATCTCACTCTCCCACTTGTTATAGTTACCTTCTTGAGCCTTTAAGCGATATTGTGAAAAATATTGGCAGGTAGTTGCTAATTGCTCATAGAAAGGCCCTCTTAAAGGTTTTAAACCTTTGTTTGTCACCTGTCATCCGCTTTGCAATGGAGGGAAGTCGAACCTTAATTTCGAACTCCTCCTATGTTCTTCTGATTAATTTCGTTGCGGGTCCAATGACAATTTAACTTTCCCTCGGGACAAACTTGACCTTCATTGGTTGGGTTTTTGTGGCGGTCAAGCTGTAGATCCTGGCTACACAGGAGTTGCAGTGGTGGGAACGAGAGGTGGGAATAGTCCCGTTACCTTCTTGAGCCTGGTGCGCGCCATGATGGCTTCGACGCGCTGTTTGCGCGCGAGACGCTCCTTCTCCTCGCGCTCGGCCTCCTCCCGCCGCAGTCTCTCTCTCTCTTTCTCTGAAGCTACCTCACTCTCCCGCTTGTTGGTATAAAGCCTGGTCCGTGAGCACGTAGAATCCCGTCCAATGACCCCAAGCTACCCATCCTTATCGCTCGCGCGTAATTCTATTGCTGTCGCGACTGTACGACGGGCGCCCGCAGTGAGTGTGCGAGCGCGACAGCAATATAATTATGCGCGAGCGACAAGGATGGGTAGCTTGGGGTCATTGGACAAAATTCTACGTGCTCACAGACCGGGCTTTAGTGTAGTTACCTTCTTGAGCCTGGTGCGCGCCATGATGCTCCTTCTCCTCGGCTTGCCTCCTCCCGCCGATTTTGTGAAAAATATTATTGGCAGGTAGTTGCTAATTGCTCATAGAAAGGCCCCCTTAAAGGTTTTAAACCTTTGTTTGTCACCTGTCATCCGCTTTGCAATGGAGGGAAGTCGAACCTTAATTTCGAACTCCTCCTATGTTCTTCTGATTAATTTCGTTGTGGGTCCAATGGCAGTTTAACTTTTCCCCGGGACAAACTTGACCTTCATTGGTTGGGTTTTTGTGGCGGGCAAGCTGTAGATCCTGGCTACACAGGAGTTGCAGTGGTGGGAACGAGAGGTGGGAATAGTCCCGTTACCTTCTTGAGCCTGGTGCGCGCCATGATGCCTTTCTTATTTTCTACCTGATACGAGCAATTTTCGTTCTTTTTTGTACCTGAGTCTTCCCTCTCCACAGCGGCATGGCTTCTTCTTTTCTGTGTTGCCCAGTCCGCCGTGCTACTGACCTTCTTGAGGCTGCTGTGGGCCGCGTAAGCCTTTGGTTTTTTTCTCAACCTGAGTTTTCTTTCCCTTTCTCCCTCTGAAGCTATCTCACTCTCCCACTTCTCTAACGGTTTTCTACAGGCTACACTTCGGAGAATGTGCGAAGGAATTATATAACTTAATTCCACCAGCCCCTTTCCATCACCGGGGAACCAGACGCCGGCTAGCGTACCATCCCTACATTGTCGACATTCCACCAGCTCGCACTAAGCGTTTCGACGACTCCTTTATAATGCGAACAGCTAGGGACTGGAATTCGCTGCCTGCTGCTGTATTTCCTGAACACTATAATCCGGGCGTTTTCAAGGCGAGAGTGAATAGGCACTTACAGGGCAGATATGTACCATCCTAGACTGCATCTCACTTAACACCAGGTGCGATTGCGGTCAAATACCTGCCTTGGCTAGCATAAAAAAAAAAAAACTTGTTATAGTTACCTTCTTGAGCCTGGTGCGCGCCATGATGGCCTCGACGCGCTGCTTGCGCGCGAGGCGCTCCTTCTCCTCGCGCTCGGCCTCCTCCCGCCGAAGTCTCTCTCTCTCTCTCTCTCTGAAGCTATCTCACTCTCCCACTTGTTATAGTTACCTTCTTGAGCCTGGTGCGCGCCATGATGGCTTCAACGCGCTGTTTGCGCGCGAGGCGTTCCTTCTCCTCGCGCTCGGCCTCCTCCCGCCGAAGTCTTTCGGCTTCTTCCGCCGCTTTTCTCTTCTCTTCGTCCTCTTTGAGTCGCGCTTTCCTCTCAGCTTCCTCTTTAGCGCGCCTTTCTGACTCTTCGCGCTCTAGTTGCTGTTGTGCCTGTAAATAAATTGATTTGTTTTAGAATTCCCGCAGAATGCAGACTGTTAGTCGGCCGATAGTTGTGTGAAATAAAATGTGGGTAAGTCCGGTCGCCGAGCAGATAGAATTTTGTCCAATGACCCTAAGCTACGCATCCTTATCGCTCGCGTGTAATTATATTGCTCTCACGCTCGCAAACTCACTGCGGCTGCCTGTCGCATAGTCGCGACAGCAATATAATTAAGCGCGAATGATAAGGATGGGTAACTTGGGGTCATTGGACGAAATTCTATCTGCTCGGCGACCGGACTTTAGGCAATTTAGCTAAGCCTAGGCGCAAGCTTGGCTTTTAGCTAAATTGACCTTAAAAATGGGCTAAATCTAAGGTGACATCACATGCAAAAAAAAACAAGCTGTCATTAACATATCTTTGAAAGGAAAAGAAGCTACAGATGTTTTATGACTATGAGAAATTCTTGAAAATCTTTCTTTTTAAACGTTTCGTTGTACCTATTATGATATTTTTTTAATGTTGTGTTGGCCCTACCTCAATAGCTTTCCTAAGCTTCTCTTCCTCCATGCGGCGCTGCAACGCGGCGAGTTCTCTTGCCTCTTCCTCCTCGCGCCGTTGTCTTTCTTCCTCTTGCCGCTGTCTTTCCGCTTCTTCTTCTGCTTCGCGCTGCAACCTGGATAGAAGAAGAAGAAAGTTAAAAATCAATCTTGAACCTTATGCTAAAAGTTGTCGACTGCTGCCTCTCAAGTTCGATCTGACGTTCTAACTACATAATGAGGGCTATTGTTTTTATACTTAACAGTTGGGACCCCTGGCGATTGACAGGACCTTACTCTACAGTGGCGCCATCTTGATGAGTGCAAATGCGATAGTCCTCCTACCACTTTCGCGCTCACCAGTTGGTGCCACTGTCTTCGCTACTAGCAAGTGACAGGACCTTACTCTACAGTGGCGCTAACTAGTGAGCGCTAAAACGATAGCCCTAATTGGAGGGTGTGGTCAGGATAGTTTGAGCTGATCAATTTTGAGCTTTACGTCAAAGACATAAAGTTCACATACCGTTGTCTCTCCAGCTCGGCCTGGCACTCCAGTTCTTCTTTCGCGCAGCCAAAGCGTGGTCAGGATAGGTTTACACGGTCAATTTTTAGCCCTACACTAATGACATACAGTTGACTGCTTTTCCAGTTCGACCGTTCGGCGTGGTCAAGATAAGATCCGATCAATTTTGAACCTTGCACCAAAGCCATAACTCTCACATACCGTTGCCTTTCTAGTTCGGTCTGGCGTTCCAACTCCCATCTTTCGCGGCGTCGGCGCTCGGGCGTGGTCAGAACAGGTTGACCCGATCAAATTCACACCTTATGTTAAAGACATAAAGCTCACATACCGTTGCCTCTCGAGCTCGGTACGGCGTTCCAACTCCTATCTCGCAAGGTGCCAACGTAGTAATTAATTGTGAACCTTATGCTAATGACATAAAGCTCACATACCGCTGCCTCTCCAGCTCGGCCTGACGCTCAGTCACGATAGGTTGACTTGTAAGCTCACATACCTTTGCCTCTCTAGTTCGACTTCTCAAGCCGCACTGGCGCTCGGCGAGAACGTGTTGTTCAACTTTAAACCTTATTCTAAAGACACAAACCTCACAAACCGTTGCCTCTTGAGCTCGGCCTGGCATTTTAACTCCTCTCACGTCGCCAGCGCTAAACGATTAACTTTCAACCTTAAGTGAAAGACACAAACCTCACAAACCGTTGCCTCTTGAGCTCGGCCTGGCATTTTAACTCCTCTCACGTCGCCAGCGCTAAACGATTAACTTTGAACCTTATGCTGTATAGTTATAAAGTTGACATACCGTTGCCTCTCGAGCTCGGCCTGGCGCTCCAGCTCCTCCCTGGCGCGGCGCCGGCGCTCGGCGAGCGCGGCTTTGGCTTCCTCCTCTGTCGTGATCCGTCGCGCGGTCATTGACGCTGAAATAAATAAATAAATAATTAATAATATCCTTGGACATTTTACACTGCGCTTCTGGACTAGAAGCGCAGTGTAAAATGTCCAAACTAAGCAAAGCTTGTACTATGGGTACTAGACAAGGGATATAAACATACTTAAAAACTTTTTTTTTGTAAATACATACTTATTATACATAGAAAACACCCAGTCCAATACAAACAAACATGTTCATGCACACAAATGTTTGTACTGTGCGGGAATCGAACCCGCAACCTCCGGAATAGTAGTACGTTTCGAACCACTACACCAAACGGCCGACTACATAAATAAATATCTTAGGTCAATTTCACATATAGCGCTTTCTAGCCCCAAAGTAAGCAATTAATATGCTTGTGTTATGGGTGCTAGCTTAACGGATATACCACAGAATACATAATAGTAGCANGACGGAGGCCTGGATATACTACATTATTTACTTTTTAAATACATACATATTATACCAGACCCGTCAGAAATTAAAATTCATCATTTCAATTTCTACCCGGCCGGGAATCGAACCCGGGACCTGTCGGCATTGTAGTCCGTTTAAGAACCTCTACACCAAACGGCCGAAATAAACGAACATTGTGCCATCTTCATCAACAGATCGTTTAGAGGCTGCACAAACGTATACCCTTTTTTTTACCAATACGGCACACCATCACAGGAAACCAAGCCATTGTAAGGTGTAAAGTGGAAGCAACGGTCACAAAATTGTCTAGGTCTGCGCAGGGATTGGTTAATTTCAAGTTGATTATGTGAAAATAAAACATTCCCTGGAGGCTTGTAGTACACTACACAAAAAGCGAAGCTTCTTATTCTCCACTGCAGGACCTTTCTAAACTAATGGAAAAAGGAGAAGCTAGCCAAGGGGGTTGGAGAGTATAATAATATTTCTCCAGTAGTTGCTAAAAGGAGATCCGTAAGATCCGTCGGAGGAGGAGATCCGAAAACGAACCAAAGTCACTGACATAGCCCGACGGATTAGTAAGCTGAAGTGGCAATGGGCAGGGCACATAGTACGCAGAAGTGACGGCCGATGGGGCAGAAAGGTTCTGGAGTGGAGCCCGCGTACCGGAAAACGCAGCGTGGGACGTCCACCTACAAAGTGGACCGACGACATCGTAAAGGTAGCAGGGAAGCGCTGGATGCAGGCCGCTCCCAATCGATCAACATGGAAAGCATTGGGGGAGGCCTATGTTCAGCAGTGGACGTCCTATGGATGAAATGATGATGATGAGTCGCTAAAAAACGACCAATTTTTGTACATAAAATACCGGTCAAATGATTCGAAATATTCTCTTTTGGTACTCACCAGTCATTTCAGAATCATCAGTCTTCTCCTGTGCGTTTTCTTTTTTCTCTTCCACCTTCACCTCGGGCTTCGGCACTTCCGCGGGCTTCTGTGCTTCGGCTTGCTTCTGTGCTTCGGCTGGCTTCGGCGTTTCGATCGGCGCTTCCGCCGGGTTGTCTTCTGTTAACATTTGTTCGGGCTTCGTTTCTTGCTTATCTTCTATGGTTTCTTTGTTTTCGTTTACCTGGATAAAAAAACAGTTATAACCTCTGCTTAGTTCAGTGGTAAAAGGAACTCTTCTGGAATTGGAACTCAATTCAGACACGTCATACAAGTATAGTTTAAAATAAGTTCGCGTATTTGTTTTCGATTTGGAAAGTATATTGCTAAGGAAGGCATCTTAAGTTGGCTGTCTGATGGAGATAAGACAGACTCCAATGGCGACTCCTGATTTGTCAACGTGACGTCACAGCGCAGCCGGCGCACGGTGTGACGTCACACGTACCTTATCCGCTAGAGGCGCGGGCGCGGGCGCGTCGTCGGTGACCTGCAGCGCCTGCAGCTTTTGTGTCACCTCCCGCGGGTCCACCGGCTTGTCTGAGCCTTCCACCTTCTATGAACAAGGAAAAACACTTCAAATGTTGCCTGTAAGGAGCCTTTACACGTCACTTGTAGAGTCCTCATCATCATCATCAAATTCTCCGTCTAAACGTCACCAAGCAAGATCTCCGGCATTTTTCACTCAGCCAAAAGGAGATATCTGAGACTCGCGTACTGAAGGTTTTTTGAGTGATCTTTAATAGTCGTCCGGAGAGATGTTTTTCTGTCACTGAACCCTCGTTTGAGTACTAGACAAACCCAAAACGTCCTTAACGATTTGCCATATACGACTGAAAACACAATACATGCTCCTTTAAACAACCCAGAAGAAGTTACCGGAGGAGCCGAAGAGAAAATCACAATGAAATCTCAGCGCCAATTTCTGTATCAACCTCATAAACAGAGCTATTAGATTTCTGATACAACATTGAAGAGTATCTAGACTATAGGAATTAAAAGCGGTAAATTCTAATGTGTATAAAGCCTGGTCCGTGAGCACGTAGAATTTTGTCCAATGACCCCAAGCTACCCATCCTTATCGCTCGCGCGTTATTATGTTGCTGTCGCGCTCGCACACTCACTGCGGGCGCCCGTCGCACAGTCGCGACAGCAATATAATTACGCGCGAGCGATAAGGATGGGTAGCTTGGGGTCATTGGACGAAATTCTATCTACTCGGCGACCGGACTATAGACGTATACGATACCTTGTTGGCGATTTCTTTGTCGACGCTGGGCTCCTTGGAGGCGGCGGGCGACGGCGACAGCGTCCGCCCCGGCGACGCCGACACAGACTTGCCGCGCGGCGTCTGACGGAAACATACATCACAATGAGGGCTATCGTTTTTATACTTAACAGTTGGCACCCCTGGCGATTGACAGGACCTTACTCTACAGTGGCGCCATCTTGATGAGTGCAAATGCGATAGTCCTCCTACCACTTTCGCGCTCACCAGTTGGTGCCACTGTCTTCGCTACTAGCAAGTGACAGGACCTTACTCTACAGTGGCGCTAACTGGTGAGCGCTAAAACGATAGCCCTCATTATCATCAGATCACTTAGGCTGTGGTCTCCTAACGCCAGCTATAAACGCCGTAAGCCGCGTGACGCCACAAACCTTACTATAAAACTCATTTACTTTTGCAAATAGGCTTTTAAAAAGCACTTTTACACGTCCCAGTATTAACCATACCACAGTGCTGAAAAGATGCAGCGAAAGACACTCAGTCACTATTAATATAGAAATGTACTGTTGTGGTTTTCAAACGTTGACGTCGGCGTATGACGTTAATAGGAACGTCGTATGCTGCGTATAGTTTAATAGTAAACCGTAGCCTTTAGTCTCCACTGCAGGAACAGAACTCTGATTTACACAAGCATCCGTTATCATCATCAGGATATTTAGTCACCATCGCAGGAACACGACCCTGACTTATTATCAGGAGATGATTTAGCCAATACTCCTCACGTTTGCCAGACGGGTTGGCGAAGTTGAGATCTTTCCCTTAGGCCGGCAATACACGGACCGCTTGAATCAGTCAGGGTCGACAGCTGCAAGCTGCGACTGCACAGTGAACTGCAGAGTTCTATGGACGCACATACACGAACCGCTCGAGCAGTTGCAACTGATTCGGGCGGTCGACAGCACGGTGAATTTTCATCGTGCGGTCAAGCAGTCGCCAGCCATACACTGACTGCTCGAGCTGTCGACAGCTCTCGCGCAGTTACCTCCGCCCACTTTCTCCATTCCAGGGCGCGCGCGCTTGTTTGTTTTGCAGTTTGTTGAGCAGTTATCACTGGCAGCTTCAAGCTGTTGAATCTTGACTACAAGAGTGGTCCGTGTATGTTGATCACTGACTAACTGCTCGAGCTGTGCGTGTATATGTCGGGCCTTAGTCATCATTTAAGAGGGGAATGCTACTCTGCTGGATCCACACGGCACACAACTTTTTCAGGGCAGCAGGGCAGTCGAGTCGAAAAAAGGTACGAACGTGTGATCTAAATTACTTTATCTACTTTAAGTTATTCATTAATTACTCACTTTATCGTGTTCTTTGGATGGCTTTGGCTTTCTGTGTACTGGCGGCTTGCCTTCTCCTGGAGCCAGTGATAATGCTGTAAGCAAACAGATACTTGTTATTTACTACATAAATAGGTGCATGAAAATAAATATCAGTTTTTAAACTGCGACTGTGATTGATTGCGCCGGGAGAACTACCATGGAAGTAAATGGCTTGATTGGTTGAAGTGGTGTTAAATACTGGTTACACAATAAGATCATTTCGTGTGAGAACGGCCCTTTACTATTTCGTTCACTGTTTCTAGACTTAACAGCATAGGTACCAAGCGAGTAGTGCCAGTTGGCTCAATGTAAACACTTAGAATCGGTGCTAGTGCTGGAATAGAATACAGCTTACTAAGCGACCGCGACGTTCGTTCGCGCCTGTCATATACTAGAAATACTCACGTTCGCTTGTACCCCCAAAATTGTATGCAGGAGGGCCTAGTCAACGTTTTGCTAACGTAAAAAAGGCGAGGCCGAAGGCCGAGCGATAACTAAAATCCTAAAAGTCATCGTCGATTAATTTTTAATATATCAAAAAATTACTAAAACTCAACGATAAATATAAAGGCGAGGCCGAAGGCCGAGCGATGGCTCTAATATCAAGAATTAAAAAATGTATCAAAAAGCACGAGATTTCAGTGACAAACGTTATCCGCCTGTGTAATTTTTGTGAGGCCGTAGGCCGGAGCGGCCAGTGTTGCAAGTTCTAAAGCCTGGTCCGTGAGCACGTAGAATTTTGTCCAATGACCCCAAGCTATCCATCCTTATCGCTCGCGCGTAATTATATTGCTGTCGCGACTGTGCGACGGGCGCCCGGAGTGAGTGTGCGAGTTTGGGGTCATTGGACAAAATATACGTGCTCGCAGACCAGGCTTTATAAATGTAAGTCCAGAGACCCGTGTCCCGCGACCGACCTGCGTGGCCGGGCGCATGGGCTCGCGAGCTAAACTTGTCGTCCTGCTCGCTCAAGAACAGAGTAAGCAGGATGACAAGCGTGGCCTCAGCTATCACCTGCGTGGTTGGGCGCATGGGCCAAACTTGTTGTAAGTACAAATCTATACTAATATTATAAAGCTGAAGAGTTTGTTTGTTTATTTTAACGCGCTAATCTCAGGAACTACCGGTCCGATTTGAAAAATTCTTTCAGTGTTAGATATCCCATATACCATCCCGTTACGAGTAATAGGTGCAGAGCAAACATGAAAAATGTTGCGAAAACGGGTTTTCACGCGTACGAAGTCGCGGGCACAGTTAGTAGTTTATACAAATAAATAAATTTTTGACTTTGACTTTGCTTGTCGTCACAAGCGTGGACAGTGGACACAGCTCTGACCTGCGTGGCTGGGCGCGTGCAGCGAGGCGGGCCGCGGACGGCGCGGCGTGGAGGCGGGCCGGCGCGGCGCGCTCACCACGCTGCCGTCGCGCGACACGCTCGGCGTCGTCGCCGCGCTCGCGCCGCAGGTGTCGCCTGCGGGACCTGCGCGAATCACTGGTTTTTACCGTGACCAGATGATATTTTTTGACTCATTCATCTAACAATGGCTCATTTGATGCATTTTTCCTGTAAGTCTAAGAACTCATGGCGCGATTTTCAGTCGCGCCCGCGGCGCTTGCGGGCCCGCAGCTTCTGTAGAATGCAGATACTTATGTAAAAACTAATGCACAAACTCACGACGTGGTTTACGCAGCGGGCTCGGTTGTAATCGGGTCCCGCTCGGCGCCCGCCCGATCGACGGGCGACCATTTTGTACCAGTGACTTAGCACGCAGCGCGATTTAAAATCGCGCCGTGAGTTCTTAAGATAACTACGCAAATAACCGCTCCCGTGAGTTTTGAAATAAAACCGCAATTCCACAACCGCAGCGGGCGCGGGTGAAAAAAACGCGGAATTCACGCGTGCGGATTTAATCCGGGCATGCGGACTGCTTGCTTGTCAAATTCAAACTCATAAAACATGTATGACATATAAATAATGATTAATTGCGAGGGCTATATGCACGCGGACCGTAGATTGGCTTGCAACCAGGAGCGTGATTTTATACGCACGCGGACCAAATCCGCACACGTGTCGAAACCCGCATCATAGGAAAAATGCACTTATGGTCAATTTTACTTTTGTAGGTATTTTGATCACATAAAAATATTAAATAATAAGAAAAATTAGAAAATATATCTCTCGTGGATGTAAATGATATGCAAAAGCATATCAAAGTATCTCTTGGAAACTATAGGCTATTAAATTATGGCAAAAAATAATTTCTTGATTAAACTCTATCTTGATATTTTAAATAATGAATCTTAACTTAAACATTTGTTATTTAATAATAACATTTAAAAGCATATAATTTTAGTAAACAATTAAACATATTAGTTAACAATATTCAAAGCTAAGTTATTTAAATATTGCACATAGAGCTCAGAAAAGGGCAACATAAAGAAAGCTGCGTTTAATGAAAGTTATGTTATTTGTTAATTAAAAGATAAAGTGAAACTATCATGAAAAAGTTTGTGATTAAAATTAAAAGAACTATAATACTTGATTTGTACTAAGTGTTTTTTTTACTTTTTATACAATCTTACAAAAACTGAAACAAGAAATAAGGAAAGTATATAATCAAATACAGATATATTTGTATACATGGAACCAGAGAAAGTCTTGGATACAGTAGGGGACAACATGTACTTTTAAATCTACTGCAATGAATATCCGAGAAAAAATGTCTCATTTACGATTGCTCTCCGAGTTTACGGGTAACGCCACGTCAAGCGCGCATTATGCGTGACACTGGGCAATTACAGCGTCACGTGGTAATATGCAGGACACAAAGTACAGTTTTCTCGTATCCAAGTCTTAACACATTCATCGTCCACAAACGAACAATAATAATGCACATCTGTACACTGGACTATTAACCCGTTCTTACCTCGCGGCGTGTTAACCCCGGTACCGGCGATGGACGCGGGGCGTGGCTTTCGCGGCGCGCTGCTGGCCCGCCGGACCACGCCGGCCGCCGACAGCGCGCTGCCCGGCCGGGAACCCGGCGTCGTCTCGCCGGAGCGGCACTCTGCACACCGACGGGACTGTACAGTGCCCGAGCTACGACGCGTGGGGGACGCGACATGTATGTGTAACAAGCGATAGGATTGAAAGAGGGTGGTAGAGGGTAAGGAACGCCTTTTTGAACGAATAAACAAAGATACTCGCGCTCTTGCGCGCGCAAAAGAGCTAACAAAGACGCTCATTTGTTTTAATATCGCATTTTACGTGTGGAGCGCGATGACAAGCAAAAACAAAACACTCGCGATCGCGGAGACGCTCACTTGTTTCAATGCAGCATTTCACAGATTGTAAAATAAAAGACGATCGCACTGCCACGACTGAGTAATTATGACAAAACACGATCGCAAACAAGATACCGTTCATTAGCGTGTCAACGTTTTTCTTTTCTTTTTCTGCGTTTTTGCTACTTTTCCGGCGTCGTTTCGCCGGAGCGGCACTCTGCACACCGACGGGACTGTACAGTGCCCGAGCTACGACGCGTGTGTAGCGTATGAAGCGATAGGAACGGCAGAGGACGGGTTAAGGGGCAAGGAACACCTTTTTGGACGAATAAACAAAAGACTCGCGCTATCGCGCGCGCAAGAGATAACAAAGACGCTCATTTGTTTCCAGGGCGCATTTTACTGATTAAAAATAAAAGACGATCGCACTCTACGACTGAGTAATTATGACAAAACACGATCGCCTGAATGGAAACGAGATACCGTTCATTAGTGTGAAACGTTTGTTTTTCTTTTTCTGCGTAAATCTCTTAGTTTCGGACCACGCCGGCCGCCGACAGCGCGCTGCCCGGCCGGGAACCCGGCGTCGTCTCGCCGGAGCGGCACTCTGCACACCGACGGGACTGTACAGTGCCCGAGCTACGACGCGTGTGTAGCGTATGAAGCGATGGATAGAGGAGGGGTTAAGAGGTAAGGAACGTTTTCTTGGGACGAATAAACAAAAGACACTCGAGTTCTTGCGCACGCAAGAGAACAAATGACGCTCACTTGTTACAATGCCGCATTTTACTAATTAAACAAAAGACGATCGCCTGGATGAAGAATAATTTCGACAAAACACGATCGCGTGAATAGAATGTAACACAAAATAACGGTCATTACAGTGTCTTAGGGCCCTCGCCTACGGCGAATTTTTGTAGAAATGCAGTCGCTCGTTAGTAGCGTGTTGGCATCACTTCTGTAGTGCGTTGCAAATGCGACTAACGCGCGTTAGTTAGTAAAGTCGCCGTGGGCGAGGGCTCTTAGCTTAAAAACCGTTTCTTTTTCTAAATCTTTCGTAAATCTGTTAGTTTCGGAGCACGCCGGCCGCCGACAGAGCGCTGCCCGGCCGGGAACCCGGCGTCGTCTCGCCGGAGCGGCACTCTGCACACCGACGGGACTGTACAGTGCCCGAGCTACGACGCGTGGGGGACGCGACATGTATGTGTAACAAGCGAAGGGAACGGCAGAGGAGGGGAGATAGGATAGAAGAAAAAACAAAACACTCGCGATCGCGGAGACGCTCACTTGTTTCAATGCAGCATTTCACCGATTGAAAAATAAAAGACGATCACACAGCTACGACTGAGTAACTTTGACAAAACACGATCGCGTAAATGGAAACGAGATAACGTTTATTAGCGTGTCATAAGTTAGAAAACGTTTTTATTATCTTTTTCTTCGTAAATCTCTTAGTTTCGGATGACGCCGGCCGCCGACAGCGCGCTGCCCGGCCGGGAACCCGGCGTCGTCTCGCCCGAGCGGCACTCTGCACACCGACGGGACTGTACAGTGCCCGAGCTACGACGCGTGGGGGGCGCGACATGTATGTGTAACAAGCGATAGGATTGACAAAGGAAAGATGTTGAGGCATGGGACGGAAGAGTAAACAAAACACTCGCGATCACAGAGACGTTCATTTGTTTCATTGCCGCATTTTACTGATTGAAAAATCTGCACTCGGCACACCGACGGGTCTTTATTACAGTGCCCGAGCTACGACGCGTGTGGGGCGCGACATGTATGTGTAACAAGCGATGGGAACGACAGAGGAGGGGTTAAGGTAATGAAAAGAATAAACAAAACACTCGCGCTTTCGCGCGCGCAAGAGATAACAAAGACGCTCATTTGTTTTAATATCACATTATGCGTGGGGAGCGCGATGTGTAGCTTAACAAGCGAAAACGACGCTCACTTGTTTAAATGCTGCATTTCACAGATTGTTAGATAAAAGACGATCGCACTACTACAACTGAGTAATTTTGACAAAACACGATCGCCTGAATGGAAACGAGATACCGTTCATTAGCGTGTCTTAGCGTAGGGGACTCTGCACACCGACGGGACTGTACAGTGCCCGAGCTACGACGCGTGTATAGCGTTTGAAGCGGTAGGATGAATAGAGGAAGGGTTAAGGGGTATGGAACGCCTTTTTGGACGAATAAACAATAGATACTCGCGCTCTGGCGCGCGCTAGAGCTAACAAAGACCGCTCATTTGTTTTAATTTTGTATTTTACGTGGGGAACGCGATATGTGCAGCGTAGGCAGTAAGATCGACAAAGGAAAGATGTTGGGACATGGGATAGAAGAAAAAACAAAACACTCGCGATCACGGAGACGCTCACTTGTTTCAATGCCGCATTTTACTGATTGAAAAATAAAAGTCGATCGCACTGCCACAATTTTGAGTAATTTCAACAAAACACGATCGCGTGAATTCATTCAAATGGAATGTAAAACAACTAACGTTTATTAATGTTACACAACTTTGAGCATATTGGGTCTGTCAGTAGCTTTTCCTTTTCCAGGTAAAGAACCATTGAACCATCGGTCTGACGTCACCGACCAAAATGTCGGTTATCGGTGGGTCGGTGGTTGGAAGGAAGGAGGGATAGGAATGTGTAAAGGGAAAAGCTCATATGATTACAGCATAGTTTTAAAAGATTAACATAATGATTAAGAAAGTGATGTAAATGTGTCTTAGTAATAAAATAAAAGATTAAAAGTTACGTTCTCAAAATTTTACATAACTTTTTAAAAGAGATCAGAAAATGATTCCATTCAATTGATTAATTGATTATGAAAAAACAATTGGTTATTTCTTAAATTATTGAAATATCAAATTACAAGTAAATAAGTAGGTATATGTTTATTTACAAACAAAATAAAAACAAAAAAGTGATATAAACGTGGTATCAAAACTTAATGTGAATGGTGGATGAAAAAGCATCAAAAAAATTAAAAAGCACACTGTAAAAGATAATAATTTTCCAAAAAATATAAAGTATAGTAAAATATTATCTTTTACTCACAAAACACTCACCTTTATTAGTAGTTTACTTGCAACCAGAAACCAAGGAAGCACCAGACCAAATAAGACCCAAACATATTATAAATACAATACCTTTTCAAACCACGTCCAAATGGTGATGGATGATGATGATGACGATGAACCTTTTTATAATGATCAGTTTCTTATAGAATATAAGCGCATCGAACATAATTTAGAGACATAAATGTCCGGGATAGCTGTCCCAATGAATTTATATTTTTTCGTTGAAAGCTCACACTTGCCAAAGCTCTTGCAAAGCTTTTTAACCCCTACACCGGAATCGATTCCAAAGATTTTCCTCCAAGGTTTATCAAAGAAGATGGGATGGATTTTGATGATGATAAATATGAATTAAAATTAGGTTAGTTACAACTGTGCGTATTAACACCAGAGGCTCGATAAGTGCTGTTGTTATTGACTGAACTTCACCAAATATCGCCAAAAGCAAAGCGCCATTATAAACCTAGACAAGACTTAGACTCCTGTCATTGACGTCAGAAGTACGTGATGTACTTTTTAGAAAAGGGTTTACAAGGGATCTTTTATGGACTTATGTTTTTTCAAAAAAATGCCATTCAGATATCTAGGAGTACATAAAATAGGCGGGAGAAAAAAGGAAAAGGGAATTTATGACTGATAAGAGAAACAAAAGACAACCGTAGGCAAAATCTTTTCAAGTGAAAAAAAATTGCGCACGTTATGTACCTACTTATAGAAAAATGGAGTATTATGATGCTCGACCGATGCATGAGTTAAGAAATGAAGTCGTCGCAACCTAGCTCCCAGGACGCTCAAATGGGGCATAAAATGCTATAACATAAACGGCATGAGTTAACACACCAAAAAGGCGCAAGACCAGTGAACAGATCGAAGCATTAAGCCCCCAGATGGCTCAAACGGTGTGAGTTAACAAATCGCGAGTTTCAGAATCAAGCTGCCAGGTGGCTCAAATAGAGAATTTTAACCAAGCGCCAAATGCGGTCACTTGCGGCAAGCACGCTGTTCAATGCAGCACTAAGACGCTCTTAAGCAGCATGAGTTAACCACTTGAAGTCATCGCCACCAAGCTCAAAGCTTGAATGGGGCATCTTACGGGTCCTCAAACGGAGTATTTTAGACTATCAGTGAACAGATCACAGCGTCGAAACAAAGCTCCTAGGTGGCTTAAATAGGCCATAAAGACTCGTTAACACCAGCAGCATGAGTGAACACTTGAAGCCGTCGCAAACCAAGCACCCATTCCAGCGGCACCAAGCTCCCAGCTCAAGGGGCGTCTTACGGGTCCTGCTGAGGTACAGCGTGGGCTCGGCGTGAGTGACTCGTCATAAGTGGAAAACAAGCTGCTCAAAATGAGCATCAAAACCAGCGGCATCAGTTGACAGACCGAATATTTTGCAATAAAGTATCCAGACGGCATAAATATGCTGAGCTGTTAGGAAACAGGTGAGGCCGTCACAACCAAGCTTCTAGGCTGCTTAATGGGTCGTAAAGATGCTAGTAAAACGCTCCCAGACAGGTCAGAAAGACCATTAGACACTCGTTAAGACCAGCGGCATCAGTGAACGGATCGCAGCATCGAAACAAAGCTCCCAGGCGGCTTAAATAGGTCATAAAGAAGCGCGTTAACACTTGAAGCCGTCGCAAACCAAGCTCCCATTCCAGCGGCACCAAGCTCCCACCCAGAATGGGGTCTTACGGGTCCTCAAAGGGAGCATTTTAGACTATCAATAAACAGATCACAGCGTCGAAACAATGCTCCTAGGTGGCTTAAATAGGCCATAAAGACTCGTATCGTTAACACCAGCAGCATGAGTAAACACTTGAAGCCGTCGCAAACCAAGCTCCCATTCCAGCGGCACCAAGCTTCTCAAGGGTCGTCTTACGGGTCCTGCTGAGGTGCAGCGTGGGCTCCGCTCGCGGCAGGCGGTCGAGGCGCGTCATGGAGTAGGCTCTACCTGGCACGAGCTCAAGCGGAGTGACTCATCATGAGTAGAAAATACGTCGCAGGTACGTTGCCGGTTCAAAAGGAGATCAGAACCAGCTACATCAGTTGACAAGACCGAATATTTTGCAATAAAGTATCCAGACAGCATACATATGCTAGGCTGTTAGGAAACAGGTGAGGCCGTCACAATCAAACTTCTAGGCTGCTTAATGGGTCGTAAAGATGCTATTAAAACGCTCCCAGACAGGTCAGAAAGACCATTAGACACTCGTTAAGACCAGCGGCATCAGTGAACGGATCGCAGCATCGAAACAAAGCTCCCAGGCGGCTTAAATAGGCCATAAAGATGCGCGTTAACACCAGCGGCATAACGCAAACCAAGCTCCCATTCCAGCGGCACCAAGCTTCTCAAGGGTCGTCTTACGGGTCCTGCTGAGGCACACGCGGCGCGGGCGCGGAGACTCATCATGAGTAGAAAATACGTCGCAGCTAAGTTGCCAGGCTCAAAAGGAGATCAGAACCAGAATTTTTCGCAATGAATGAAGCTTCCAGGCGGCTCAAATGCTAGACGCTTTTAGAGATCAGGATAAGAACACTTGAAGCCGTCGCCACCGAGCTTCCAGCCTGTTTAAATGAGTGTTTTAAAACCAGCGGCGTGAGTTAACAGCCCAAAAACCTGCGGCACCAGAAAACAGATCGAAGCGTCGCAAACCAAGCTTTAAGACGCTCTTCAAAGCAGCATGTTAAGCACTTGAAGCCGTCGCCACCAAGCTCCAGCCTGAATGGGTCATCTTACGAGTCTTGGAGGTGCGTCATGGAGTATGCTCTACTTGGCGCGAGCTCAGAATAACTCATCATGTGTTTAACCATTGAAAACCCGTCGGAGCTAAGCTCCCAGCCTTGAACGGAGCATCAGAACTAGCAGCAGTTAACAGACCGAATCTTTTGCAATGAAGCACCCAGGCGGCTTAAATAGGCCATAAAGATGCTCGTTAACACCAGCGGCATAACGCGAACCAAACTCCCAGCCTGAATGGAGCGTCTTACGGGTCCTCAATAAGAGCATTTTATACTATCAATAAACAGATCACAGCGTCGAAACAATGCTCCTAGGCGGCTTAAATAGGCTGTTACACCAGCAGCATGAGTGAACACTTGAAGCCGTCGCAAACCAAGCTCCCATTCCAGCGGCACCAAGCTTCTCAAGGGTCGTCTTACGGGTCCTGCTGAGGTGCAGCGTGGGCTCCGCTCGCGGCAGGCGGTCGAGGCGCGTCATGGAGTAGGCTCTACCTGGCACGCGCGGCGCGGGCGCGGTCGGGACCAGGTCGGTGCGGCGCCGCGCCACCGACGACCACATCACCGGCGCCGGTTGGCGGTCGGGTTCGTCTGGAAGTTAAATGGTTAACCCATTATTAGTGCTTGTAAAAAAAAACTTGTTTTTTTTTTGCAAATAGGTAGCATCCCTGTCGGTTTTCTATAGGCTACACTTCGGAGAATGTGCGAAAGAATTACACGAACTAATTCCACCTGCCCCCTTCCATCATCGGGGAACCAGACGCAGGATAGCGTACTATCCCTATATTGTCAACATTCCACCAGTTCGCACTAAGCGTTTCGAGACTCTTTTATAATGCGAACAGCTAGGGACTGGTATTCACTGCCTGCTGCTGTCTTTCCCGAAGACCATAATCTGGGTCTTTTCAAGGCGAGAGTGAATAGGCACTTCACTGAGAGACACAGGGCAGATATGTACAATCTAAAACTGTATCCCACTTAACATCAGGTGCGATTGTGGTCAAATAACTGCCATGTTGTGTTTAAAAAGGCTTTTAAAAAGCACGTTTACACGTCCCTAATATTAACCCTACCTACCAATAGGCCATTGCTGAGAAGAAGCAGCGCTCAGTCACTATTGTCTTGTAATAAAAAATCATTGCTTTTCGACCATATGATAAGATGATAAGGATCAAATGAGAGCTATCGTTTTTATACTTAACAGTTGGCACCACTGTCGATTGACATAACCCTACTTTGAAGTGACGCCATCCTGAAGGACGCAAATGCAAGTCTTTCTACCGCTAGCTTCACCAGTTCTCCACTAGCAAAAGAAAGACAGTAAAACTTTATTCTACAGCCAACTGGTGAGCGCTAAATCAATAGCCCTCATTATCATCATCATTTCATCATTCACTGCTGAACATAGGCCTCCCGTAAAGATTTCAAGTATAGTCGAATGAATAGAATAGAGTAGAAAAGTTTGATCAGCATGCTTTTTAATAATCACTTATTTTTCGCATTATAAAACTGTTGCAATCAGAAATTATGAAAAGTAAAGAGTCCACATTTTTTTTATTTGCAACTAATTACAGACTTTTACTGTTGCAGAGACCAAGTGGTGCTCTAATAAATCTATTTTTATCCAATTTACATCAACAATTGCTTTTAAAAGATCGTTCAACCCAGCTGATTTATAACTCTGTAATGACGTCACACCACATGTACAATGTTTGGCTGTGCCCAAAATAGATTTCATACCATCAGTGTTTACAAAATCATAGAGTGTATGAACTCTGATATTTACACACCATGCATTTAAACAGTTGCAAAGAATGATTTCTGAAACATTCTAGAAGCAAAAAACAAAACGAATAGAAAATACGTAGTGTTTTTAACAAGTAAAACATGATTACTGGATAGAAAATGTTACAATTATTTTGCTAAATACTGATGACTACATAATGCACTTAAATTAATCAACCAAAAGAGTTATCTTCTGTTTAACAACTTAATTAAAGGCAAGGTCGCTGTAGCGAGATTAATCATCTTCATGGACCTTGATAATCAGATTGAGACTTTATGCCACGAGCATTAGATGCATTTTTGCTTAACAGTGTATCAAGTGTATGAGGTATGTATGGGATATGTGCAGTGCAATGGCTTACAAGGCGAATTAATGTGATCTTTTCTAATCCCTTACAAGGTCGGATGATCTACGCGTGTAAACATTTAGCACGATAACCGTATTTGCTAGTAACAGCACAGCACAGTATCATTTGCTGCCAATAGATGGCGCTGTACGTTTTTTAAATCGCGCAAGTGCATTTTTGTAGTTTATATTTAGATGTTTTTAGTATCAGGTTGTGTAAAATAACGTTTAAAGGTTCATACATTACGTAAGTCATATAAATCGTACTTTTTTATAAAGCCAAGACAAAAAGAAAATCAAATCTCACACAGTCATGCAATACAAATGAGTGAGTACTTACAGAAACTTGCAAACATTCTGAATCCTTTGGCAGCGTTGAAAATGAAATAGTGTTAGTTTTAGTATAGAAGAGCACAGTACATGATAAAATTGTTATTTTATAGTCAAGTATGCAATATGAACAGATTCATGCTTGACAGAATTTGAAATATCTTTTACAACTCTTGACGATATTGAAAAATGCTAAATTAATATGAATATTNTAAGTATTAAATTCATAAAAAGGTACACAGATAAATGAAATGGTATGAAGGAAATCATTATTCATTAATACGTTAATCATTGCGTTAATGATAAAATATGACACCATGAGAAAGGGCATTTAAAAATGAACGATAAAAATTACAACAGGGTGAATTAGCTCACCGAAAAATTATATTCTAAGAGACATTTTCCAAGTGTTAAGCGGACCAGACACTACCAGTAATAATGTAATTTTGGTTGAATGAAGGAATATCGTTTATAGTGCGACAAGGTTATTTGTATGTGGTGAGATTTAAAATGTCATTGCCGAAGGAAGGAATGACAGAAATATTGATGTCAATATGTTCCGGACAGTGTCTGGTCCGCCTAAGAGAAAGAATGACATAATTACTAAAGTCCGGTCGCCGAGCAGATAGAATTTGGTCCAATGACCCCAAGCTACCTTAATATCCTTATCGCTCGCGTGTAATTATATTGCTGTCGCGTTCGCACACTCACTGCGGCCACCCGTCGTACAGTCGCGACAGCAATATAATTACGTGCGAATGATAAGGATGGGTATCTTGGGGTCATTGGACGAAATTCTATCTGCTCGGCGACCGGACTTTAAGTGTAATAATGATATATTTACCTTTATTGTCGGTGTCTGACGTGTCTAGTTGAAGTGCAGAGGCGCGTCTCGTTAGTGGCGCAGACGCGAACATCACGTTTGTAGTTGATGCCGCCCTGGAAACAGATAGGTGAGAAATTAGAAAAAAATGACATCTATGGTGAGGCTAAAGCTAGTCTACGAGATGAGTGCCAAAGGGAACAGTCATAGGCTTCTATGGAAGACATTGGAAGACTTGAAAAGAGTTTGGTCGTTTGGATCATTGCTAGATTTATAGTATGATCTTTCTAGATGTCAACCAGTTAGCCTAGGCGCAGATCACCGACTTAATTGGACGATAGTTGGGCCCGATTCTAATTTGTATGAAGAATCGGCCGATCCAATGTGCGCGCACTTTTATACATATCCATACTGATTAACAGCCAGACTCAACTATCGGCCAACTAAAAGTCGGTGGTCTGCGCTAAGGCTTAGGCAATTTGATACCATACCCCAATAATTCGAAACCACAACTGTTTTAAAAAGACTCTTCATTCTGGTCTTAAAAACCTAATTTATTTTAAATTACCTGTAAATTTCGATTTTTGTTCGAATTGGAATTGAAAAAAGTAGTTTAATTGGGTTGACAAAATAGTGACGTCACTTGCTTGTAGTGCCATACAAAATCTATGGGAGAGTTTCGTTTTTACAGTTTTTAAAAGTACGTCAATTGACTGTGGTGTCTATTACATGTAAAAAAAAAGTCTGAAGTTATTTTGATAAAAAGTGAATTGGGTCCTTTTGGCATCTCGTAGACTCGTAGTGTAGAATTAGCGTAGTAGTTAGTTATTTTGCAGTACCATTTTCTAAGCGTTACGTTTGGCATAATTAAATTATCACAGTTGCTTAACAACGTTTCATAATATTTTAACGATGATGTTACACGTGACCATAGACAAACTTTGGGCATAAACAACAGACAACCTGTACTTATTTTTTTTGTAGTAGTTAAAGTTAAAGCCCAAAGGCTGCCTAAGCGCACGTGTAGTGCGTAGTCAAGTAATTACGTTTAACAGATTAAAATCGAAAGCAAAAGATACAATAACGCAAAAAATGCAGTTTATGTTGTTACATTTGTTAATTAAGGTTCAATACAATTATGTGCAAATAAAGTTCTGCTGTTTGTTAATTATTTCACATGCACATACATTCTTGACGATAAAAACAAATTATTCTAATTAAAAAAAACACGATATCTAAATAACACTACACTAAAAACTAAATTACCTATATCAATAGTACACAATTATATTTTAGTTGTTGTTAATGTGAATAAATATGCATGAAATAAGTATATTTAATTAAAAATAATCTTAATTTTTAGATGCCTATAATCAGTTAATAGATGTTTATTGTGTGTCACAATAACTGTTTCAATTAAACAGTCCCCCATGAAACCATTATTATGGCATATTTTAATAATCTGTCAAAACGAACGTGAAATTAGGAAATTGGTTCTCTTAGCTTGAAATTATTTTAATAAATTGCATATAAATTACGCCAAATCCGTTTAGAAAATTAAGGATTTACCACACTGTCTGCGATCAGCTCAAAGTAAGCGTACAATAAGTTTGTGTGAAATTCCAATAATTATTGCGTCCCTGGAGACGATCTTTTCAAGATGGTTCCTACAGAATACCAGCATCATGTTCTGTAGAACATTTTGGTTCAATAAATTATGTATATTATTTGTTTGAACCAAATAAACTATTTTTCTTTCTTTCTTCCTTCTTTCATTAACTTTGACCTGTCCGCAGAACGCAACAATGTGACAAGTCCTTTTCGCAACTTTCCATGTCGCAACGCAAGCCAAAAGTTTATCAACCCGAAAAAAACCGTCAAAAAAAAATTTCGCCATCGTCAAATCCGTTGAAATAAGGCCATTGTTTCAGAGACAATGGGCCCGGCATATAGGAAGGAAGGTGACGTCACCGGTCGCTGGACCGAGGAAGTCGGTACGGGGCTTATGGATAATGGCGTCATAAAAACTCGATGGGATTAGTCAAGGTATTTATGTCGAGTTTGGCATTGTTTGAGTCTGTCCAATAAAACAAATTAAGCGAATTTGATACCGTGGTATTGGGAGTAATGCAAAGTAAATCTTGGTTTTTGTACAAAATAGGACTACATTCAAAATCATTTTGATTTTTCAAATTAGATTTTGAATTTTGATTAGCAGACAATTTTTGCCTTCCAAGTTTAAGTCCTATGGCTGAAATGATGATGATGATGAAGTTTAAACTTTAAATCTTCGAATGTAGAGTTCAAATATACATTTACTAGACCAGTCGACTAGAAATTTTGGAATTAATATTCGGGAACGAATAATAAACCCGATTTCATGTTTAAATGTCTTCTAGATAATGTCATGTATGTATCACTCACTATCTACGCGTGTAATTAGCAATTAATACCTATAATAAACATTAATTAGCTACAGACTGCTGTCCTGTCTACATCCGATTGTCAGTCGCACACGCATGTCTCGAAATTATTTCATTCAAATCCGTTCATCCATTCACCAGTGATATCAATCGTCGAAAAATGAGAACAAGTTGTGTACGTAATATGCGTAGAAAACTACTACTACATACTACAGTGTAAGCTCTTTATTACGTTACTCGATTTAACGATAATAACTTTTTGTAGCGTCGAAATTTCTTGACTTTGTTGGTTTACCTTGTTTTCTATCTGCTTTACCGTGTCACTCCATTTAACGATCTTTATAACGCAAAAATGCTCTAGTTTCTTGAGTTTCCTTAGATTTTACATTGTATTTTCCCTGTAGAAATATTTGATTAAAGCCTATTTTAAATCCTTATTTTGCTAAAAGATACAATATTGAAGTTACATTTCGTTCTGATTAATGATTGTTTGATGATAACATCATTAACAAACGATAATGAGTCATCCGCCGAAGACGGAAGACAAAATGAGCGCAGCGCATACAAATCGGATAACGGAATATAAGCAACGTGCAAGCAAAGTCAAGGCTCTTCTGTGTACAGTCGGCCATAAAAATTGTATTATTATTTAGTCTGATTTAAGAACGAATCAAGAATGTCACTAAATTTTTGCTTAGTCATGTAAGTAAGACGTACCTATTTATCATCATTTTTCTCGGCGCCTCAATTTAAAAGTAAATAAATCACTGAACGTTATTATAACAATTTACATATCGGCAATCGCTCTCCAAAACATAAAGACATAAATAAATTAAACAATCAAGTAACAGAGATCATAAATTAATTAAAAGACACTAAAAAACACATGACGGCCACATATTTTTTATGTCTTGCAAAATACCACCATAAAATTAAATGCATTAGCAATTTAGCATTTATGTGTCTCTTGATGCTTTTTTGCTACAGCGTTTCAGAGAAATTGGACACGTAATGTAATGGAAAAGTCGATTTTTGGGTGAAAATGTTACTAACCTACGTAAAGGTCCCTAGTTTAAATTTTCGCTTTAAGTTTTAAATACATTAATGTAGTAATAAATACCAAATATTGCTTTAATGCAGCTGACTGTACTAAAAGGATTGATAAGATGAATGAACGATTGAATGAATCAAATTGGAATAAATGTGATAATCAAATAATTGTACAACTCCTTTTTATCTAAAACTCTTGTCGTTTTTCGGAAATAAATTTTTTACAATAACTAACAACAGATTCAAATGCTTTTATACATATTTCAGATAATTTCGTGCTCCCAAAAATAAGTTTGTTTTGTCTATTGAAATATTGTTTATGACTATGAGCAACATATTATAGAATGATAAGGTCGGCCGATTGAACTACGCTCAGATATCTAAGCGATATCTACCTACTCGTGATATATTGTCACATTAATATTGACCACTAAGGCTCAGAACACACGGTGAAACGCAATTGCAACGAAACTGAAACTTCTAGTTACTTTTGAGTTGCATCTAAGTTTCTGCCATAGATTCCGTTGAGAGACCACACATGACGCGACCAGGTTTGACCAGTTCAAATCGGTTTCAAACTGGTCGCGTCATGTTTGGTCACTCAACGGACGCTATGGCAGAAGTAACTAGAAGTTGCAGTTTCGTTGCAGTTGCGTTTGACCGTGTGTTCTGGGCCTAAGTATAGCTAAATGCCAAGGAGTGATATTCCATAACTGAATAATTTACGATGTTAATAAAAAATCTGACGAATTTAACACGAAAACCTTTTTCTTCATTCATCAGTTCTTTATACTTCGTTTATGGGTATTTATTAATTTTCTAAACTTAGCTAAGCATTCAATATTTTGGCCAACCGACTTCAATTATTTCGATACTTTTTTTGGCATTGACTTGATTTTGAACACAACGATTTCGCCAATGTCACGTGTGCAGCTTTGACAAAACCCATAGATCATAAGTATGACAGTTGATTATATTATTGGTAATCAACTTTCTTATTGTCAAAGGCGTTGGTTGAAATACCTTGCACTAAATCACTTGATTTATTTATGTTTGTGTGTTGTTTATAAATTGTTTTCAAATTAGCCATTTAATAGTCAATATCTTATCAATCGCCGATGAATAATTTGTGACTAATTAACGTTAAAATGTGTGCCAGCTCATTAGTGGCCAGTGTAGTGTCAGTGACGTCACTAACTGTTATGCTGACGCTACCGGCATAATAATACGTAGCCATATCGCGCGGCTAGCGGCCTAAATATTTTAGTCTGGTTACCGGAATGTCAAAGTTGAGCTAGATAGTACAAAAATAAACACTAAGATGCCACATTCATGTTCGCAACCTGAACCGAAAGTGACCTAATACACCGTTTTTAAAACTTATATCCGGACAAAAATTGTACCTTTTTATATATCCAATGTTACTTTTATATTTTTTATAAAACGTACTTTTTATCACAAAAAATATACTGAAAGTTTTTTTAACGCCTATAAGATTTATTCATGGATGTTTAAAATATGGTATTTTCAGTTATATTTGCACTAACCTAGGTTTTTCTAAATTTAGAATTGAGTCACTTTTATTCTAGGGTGCGATATTATGCTCGGAGAATAACGCATTAGTTCTATACATATAACATGTCCTTTGAAACACCTAAGGTTAATAAGTCTGACATAGCCATACGTGCCGACCAAAGCACAGAATCATATTTCTTTTCGGACAATCAGGCGCGATACTATATCGATATGGCATTGATATATCATATCTAATCGTTGGAAAGTCACTTTTCGATTATCGCAGCGGTGGATTAATTTGGATAACGACGGTTTATTAGATCATAGCTTAATTTGTAATTAAAATGTGCAATGTGATACATATTATTATGGTGTTTCGGAAGTGAAATCAATTTACGTGTCAAGGTTATGTGATTTTAATTACGTGAATGGTGTGTTTGGTTCGGTATTTTATACATTGTCTACAGGCACTAAAATTGGAGAACTTATTGGTTAAATTACTCTACTTATTTCACTAACTCTAAATACATAATTGACATATTTTACACTTTGTTGTTATGAAATCGAACTCAAAACAAATCAACAATTCGTTTACCTATACTGGAAAAGAGGTTTTAATAAGCATGCCAACATAAAAATACAAATATCACAGTTTTGGACGTTCACAAGTTCACAGACCATGCACATCATCATATTAGCATGCAAAACAATAGTCTACCATCACACTAGGTACGTCACATCCGAAAATAGACGCACACATTGAAGATTCTGCGCGTTGATAACAACCATTAACATTCAGCTAATTGTCAAACTACATAATTAGTTCACTTGCTACAACTAACTCAATGCAAATTAGTTGGGATACCAAAAAAATAAAAATTGCTTACAGCGACTCAAAAAAGTTCATCTGATCTATGGGGTTGGTACTGGTGGAAGGGGAAACAAAATAAAAACAAATTAATAATCGGAAAATAAAAATAACTTAGTTACACTGTTACGGAAAGGGGAACGGGGTGTAACTAAAACCCAACACCTTCAAAAAAATCCTGAAAATAAAAGCAAAGCTAAAAATAAATGGAAAATCATCTACTTAAAGAGCGCTAGAACAAAATCATTTTAGTCAATCTCATAATAGCCTTGATTTTGACTAAAACAGTTTCGTTTTCAACAATTCTTCAGCGTGCTAAATCAAATTGAACCCTGAGTTGGTGGTATTAGAGTTCAACAATATAGGGCACATATTATTAGGTCAAATGGCCCTCTCTATGAATCATAATAGGTCTTGCCTACTGAATTGGCTCAGATGTATAATCGTCCGCAGAGCAGAATAAATATTTCTATGTCAAAATCAATCCTATTACGGTCACTTAAGGTGCCTTATTGTAGCTTGATGTGTCTATACGAGACAGCATCTTGAGTGTAGATAATATGAGAATTCCTTTTAGCGTTTATGTAGGTACTTCATTATGTCATTCAGTACCTTATTTATTTATTTGGACCGTCAATCAATTGTATATCCACGCAGGGCTTGATAAATATTAATTTAAATCAGGATTTCTGTGTATTTGTGAACTTTCTTCCCAGCATATGGTAGCGTTAGTAAGTACAAATGCCCTTGAACTCGCGATAACAACTTTAATTGACGGATAAACAAGTCTTGAGATCAATTAGCTCTCTGGTCTTTACCTTGTCATTGAAATACGATAGTAATATGTACTGAGATTATTCAATTAGTATATTTTTGAATTTATCTTTTGGTTACATTTGGTACTTACACAGGGCGATAGTTTTTGAAAGGATGGATACTTAAATTCAATGGTGCATCTCTCCAATATTCATCAGTGTGGTCTAGCACGAAAGTGAATAAAGTTTAGCAAGTGATTCAAAAAACATTCCATGATTCTACCATCTGCTTAGAAAAAATATCATAAAACCTGTACGAGCCAACAAAAGATAAATCTACTTTGTAAAAAAAAAACAAATCTAGCCACCTATTCAGCATCACATTTAAAAAAGGAAGAGAATCGTTCGCGAAATGACCACCGAACACCGATAAAGGCGGACACACACCTGCGCGCAGCCCAGAAGAATCCCGCCGAATCTAGCGGCTCGAGCAAGCGGGGGGTGGACGACCCGAACGCAAACGCAGGCCGGGGCGCGGAGCGGGCGGCGCGCGCTCGCTCCAAACGCTCGGTTCGGTCGCGCTCTCTCTGTAAGAGCGCTTCGCGTCTGGATATGGATGCCTCCCATATTGCCCGTTTTCTTTCTTCCACCTGGAACAAGTTGGTGATGTCGGTTAAAATTTTGTGCAGTTTGGTATTTAGCCCAATTTGGATTTTTTCATCTTAAGTACAAAACACACTTATCAACCCAGAAACGGATCGTAACCGTATCAAATCCAGGTCAGTATTATTTGTATGAAACTCGGTACTGCAACGCACACTTATCTGCACCTCGCGGTTGACAGCGCGGCGAAACGCGATACGGTGTTGATCCCTTTCCGGGTGTATAGGTGTGTTTTGACCTTTAACGTACTTTTCAACTTCTACTGCCAGTGGGACAACTACTATCAACTGTAAATGGAACTACTGAGATTAGTTCTATGGTCAAAATGTATCTGTTCTTAAAGATGACTATGATTACACCTAGTATTTGAAAACATACTCTTTATTATCTAGCTAACGTTAGCACGTATGACGCTGAAACTTCAGTTATTGACCAATACAGATAAATATAATAATATGGTTTGGATATGTTGAAAAAATTAGATATTTTGTTTGTTTCGCAGATGTTGGCAGGTGATAGCTAAAACAATAGCGTATGATCGGTCTAAAAAACTTATTTCAGGGTAAGACGAGTTATTCAGACTGATACGAAGATGGAAATCATAAGAAAATATTTTTTGTAACATTAGAATTACTCCTGGGAAATCACAAGTCATATTATGTTGAACTTCTATACAATTCGTCAAAAAAATGTTTTTTAGAAACCAAGTAAAAATATGACGTATCTGATTGTAGCAGGCGCGTTTTTGTCGCTGATTTGCACGAAATTTATTTACTTGAACATAAGAAAAATTTAAGCAAACGCTTTTCCTTGAGAGAAAAACTAAGTACATTAAGAAAACTGCTGCACAGTTCATTACAAGTTGGTTTCAAAACTATGGAGAATTTAGGTTTCCGCTTTGATAAAACAACCGGTTTCTGTACAAATTATTTCTAGAATTTTCAGACTGAAACCTATCACGGAAACTATACTTCATTACTTACATGAATACACAAACATCGTAAATTGCATACATTATCAAATATTGTTATTCTGTTAGTAGCAATTCCTGATATCGTGCTTGAAGATAACAAGGTTTATCTACGTACATACTTGTTACAACAATACACAGTTCTTTACTAAATATATTAGAATAGACAATAGCACTAGCAGTTACATAAGAACCCAAGATGATGTAGAAAGAGACACTTACTGCAAAAGTAACATGTTTACTCATTTTATTCACATAAAAACAACAAAACGATCACTCCACATCACCATTTCGTATCAACTGAGGGATTTCACGAAATGATTAACGTGTTATCATCGAACAAAGCGGCTGAAACACTGAATAATGCATGATTCAAGGTAATGTAACATGTGTTTTTTGACATCACAAAATTCGTTAAGCTAACCAGTGGTTTCAGGCGAATAGTCTTTACAATTATTGTAACAGACTGAGTAAATATTGCGTATCTACTGAAATGTAAAGTCGACTTTTGCAATGGGAGCTACGACACAACTATCAGCTGACTATACCAATTGCACTTAGAATCGTCATCATGATAAAAATAAATGTTAATTCTTTCGTTTGCGAAATCTTAGGTCATCACGAAGGACTACCACGAAATAAGGAGGCGCCAGAAGTATTAGGCTCACAAAGAAATATCCATTATTAGCCTTTTGTCTCCCGCCTCCTTTCAACATAATGATCCTTCGAGCCGAGTATTAAGTTACCTTGTCGGTTAAGTGGAGATAGAAATAATAGCGCTCTATAATAAAATTGGTGCAATTCGTGAATCGAGACGATTAATTAATGAAAGTAACAGTGACCGCTCGTTTCGGAGTTATTGAAGAGTAAAATGACGATGATTCATGTTCACCCTCGAGCCGAATATTGCTCGTATTCGGTCACATAAGACCTCGCCCTCGTCGCGTGTACTTGACGTAGACCCGCTTGTCGTGCGACGTCTATGCGAGGAAAGACATTATCAAGAAAGGGTGTGGACTGCAAAACAACTGAATGCGATGCATGTAAAAGGAAAAGTTGATGCCGATAAACTAGACGCATTTCAAGCGAACGACGTATTATTAAGTAAGTAAATAAACTAATTATAAGCTAATTACGAATATTTTAAAGATGTTGTTCGTATGAAATGTGTGTATCGATCGTAATTTACGAATGCTGGATTGGAGAGTGCATTTACATCGGAGGTAATTCACCTCGTCCGTCTAGACCGCTGGAGGCCTGACGTCATGGTTATACTATTTGATTTACTTTTTGTAGTTAATTGTCACCTTGTGCTGCGTGTGCTGTGAACTGCTGTGCTGATAGTATCGTAACAAAGTTTTAATTTGTCTTTATCTTAAGTCAATCTGATTTGGTTAAAACAAAATTACTCGAAGGCATTGAATCATATTTTTTCATCATAATACCAGTTTACGATATTGTTTATGACTCTACATAAATCTCAATTTAAAATAGATTCACTTTCATGTTTTTTCGAGAATTTATATAGTCGCACCTCTGCAATGGAAAACGCATTAGCCAAGAATATAAAATTCCTGCATTTGACAGATCCAAGCAATTTCAATATCTCTAGAAATCCAACGTGATTTCACTGCGAATTCCGATAGAGGTTTCCGCCAAACATTTGCAACATGCTTTCCACCAAACCAAACCATTGCTAGAGTAAATAGCAAACGTCTTATATTCAACACACTAAGGTTAGAAATTGTCTAAATGTTTCAGGTTAGATGTACACAGATAACTGTCAGTCTAGATTTGATACGGCCAAGTCCAGACATTCCAGCGGTAGATTAATGTTCGATGACACATTCCTTAACAGTATGATTTCTAAAAATAACCATCTCACTTTGATCTTAAAAGACAATACAAAATATTTTGCAAACGATCTCTCACTTCATCTCTGACAATAAATTCAACTATTTCAACGACAAAAGTTTGGACAGAATTTTAGAAATGAAAATATGTGTTTGCTCTATGAATAATTTGCAATGTATTAGCAACGCGTGAGGAAATGACATCAATGTAAACGGAATGCATGAAGATGAGACAGAAAATGAAACAACTACAACAATAGTGGAAAAAACACTAGCCGCTTGAAATGAAGCAGACGTCGGATTCACGCCAGACGGATTAATCGCGCGGTGATGTCAAACGTAGGAAATCGGACTTTTTCGCGACACTCCAACACGTTACTGCTGAGCTATGCCAAGTGTGTCAATGGCAAATTTCTCTGTCATAAAGCAACATTATTACTCGTATTTTTTGAACTCATCATTCATACTCGACTTTAGATGAATGAGCGGAGATAAAATCAACTATTTATAGAAATTGTTTCATCCAATTAGATATTTGTGTTTTATTGAGGAAGAGCGGTTTAAACATCGGTTTCCACCTTGTTTGTAACATTGAGTACAATATTTGTAACGTTGGATAATGCTAATGCTTCTTTTAGGACGTTAGTAAATTCGTGAACTAATGCGTATGTTTAGATGATATTTTAACATCTGTTTTCTTTCAATGTCATAATTATCTCTCAACGGTCTCAAGTATAAATGAAAGACACGTAGAATATGCATTTGAAGTTAATTTCACGAGAAATTATACGACATAATCATTTTCGTTCTCTAAAACAATTACAGTGCGTCTCGGTTTAAAGTATGAATGAAAATAACAATCTTGTTTGAATCTTATCTCATCTAGGTAGATCTCTATTAATAATAATGGACTTTAGCAATTTATACCGGATTAATTGTCAGTTTTGGAACTATAAATAGCGGTTCAAAAAGACTACTTACATTGGACTGTTCGTTACATGGACGAAATTTCATATCTCCCGACTATCAACACTCAGTACCCAAACTAAACTTGCACAAGTTCTCACAAATGCACAAAATACAAATCCGACAGCCGTCACTAAGCCAGACCGTACCAAACCACCGTTCACTATAGACAAAGCCAAACTCAATGGGGCACAGCAGAGCGTTAAGCGGAAAGCAGCATGGTTCGGCATGCATAGTCCTGAAGGAAGTGGTCGCTGTTATTTTTGTCGCAGCTCCTTAACGCACGGCTTGGGTTAATTTTAAATATTTTTGATCCACTACAACGGAGTGTGGTGCGCTTTAAGTCATCAATGCACGTATAAATGCTCGGGATGTTTAATCTTTTGACGCGGGTAAAAGAGCACGAACGGAATTTTCGGGTTTGATTTAAGCTTGTGATATCGTAAGCTTTTAAGTCCGAAGCTTGTTATTGTATTGATTGTGGCCAAAGTTTACACAACAAAAATTTCAGATCGTGAAAGCTTTTGTATTGACTAAGTGCAAAACTCTGTAAGTCGTTAAGAGTTTGAGATATTAAAGTATATCTGGTGAATTTAAATCTCATCAAGCAGGTAGAGTTAAAATAAATTTCAATAAAAATAAGGAATAGCAGTTTCACCAGTATATTTTATGACTAAAATGAGAGCAAATATACCTACTTATAAAACGAGACTTAGTAGGCACTTTTAGAAGTATTGTATTGCCACATTTAGGTGATCTTGAAAAGACTAACTTGCACTAAATGCAGTCTCTTTGTTAGGAACAAGTGCCTTGACCTAAAAACCTCATAAGCGATACACTGACGGCACCAAAAGCAGTGACCTAAGGCAAATGCCTTTAGAAGAGCAAGTTAAAATTAGTTCTGCCGCTAATTACAGTTTTCGTAAATAGGATCACTTTTAATAGCAATACTTTAGCAATTGAGTACATTTTAATGTAAAATGAATATGAAATCATGATCAAAGGAAGGAAAATTAGTTAAGGAAATTGAGAACGTTCTCGTATTAGTATTGATTATGCATGTTTGCATAATAAACAGTATTGAACAAAACTATCCAATTAAAACTGAAGTCAAAATATTTACGATTGGCACACAAGCCGGGCCGTTGCCGAAAGAAAAAATCAAGAATCATTAAAAAACACATGTTATTGGAATAAT